CAGCCTCATTTCATAACTTTTTTACGATCCCTATTTGAAGGTTTTTAAATTCCCAATTTTTTTTTATTTATATTGTTTGCTGGCTTTTTTAATCCCAACTATGAGCAAATGATTAATAAACATAAATAGTAGCTAGCTGATACGGTTCATGATGATTTACGTAGCTGTTGACTATTTGATCGCATTAGTTCGAGATTTAAAACGTTAAACTGCAGCTGGAGATTGTCATGAAGATTTGTTTGAGAATATAGTGAGCATCTATAGTTTCTATGTAACTAAATTCTCTTCACATACAATGCATAGCAATGGGCAAATATATGGCTAGGTTAAGACACAACCCCCACTAAGCGTGAAAAAACATTTACCACGAGAAAAACAGCCTTTTCAAATAAAACATCGTTTTAAATAAACCTTCGTATCTTTTAAAGTAATTATTCTACGAATGTGTGTAATAAACTTTAATATTATGTGTATTGATTTTCTTTTTACTTCTTCACTTCATGTATAATATAGGGGTTGGCTCCCTAAAGACACCGATTGTACAATGTACAAAGCATTGATTATTCTACATTTTAGTCATCTAATGCTCATCTATTATTGGCTGGTAATTCCTGTTTCACCCTGTACTTAAGCTTTTTAGAGAAACACCAGAAGTAATGATAACATCTTTTACATTAGAATCATGATGTTTTTTAGCTTATGTAAAATATAAAAGAAACAAACCGACTTTTCAATACCCCCTACGTCCTTCGCAGTACCTTATTTAGTATTTTACAAAAGGTTTGGGTGCAATATACCAAACCGTTTTTGTTGTAGGCTGGCAAGACAACAATAATAATAATAATTACAAACGAGCCATTTTGAGCGGATTTTCTTTTCCTTGTAAGTCTAACATGCGTGCTTTTTTGTGCAGTTTTATATGTGTACAGCCTTAGCAATCAATAGCAAAGATATTAAAGTGCTGTTTGAACTGAATCTTTATTTGTTAAGGTGTTTTTACCCGAACGTTCTATCAGGGTTTTGTACAATTCCTTGCAATCCCTATTATGAACCACGATAGTGGTTCAAGATACAACACGAGTATGTCAAACATAATTATCGATTGTAATTAGATAAAACTTTATTAACTGTGAAACTTATGCAAAGGCATCAAGCTAAACACTGCACGAAATACTAGGATCGATATCAATTTAATTAAAATTCAATTTTAATTTTATGTTTTCTTATGCATAAACAAATCTAACAGAAACCTACAATAATTACTGTTTAGTTTCGTCCCTCGTGGAATACTTTGCCGTGTTTTTGTCGCAAAAAATGCGGTACTTGAACGCACTAACTTATTCTTTATATATTACTTATCTCAAGTCACCCATCCCCTTCACATACTGACTAGCTTTGCGAGTTCTGCTCGAGAGATCTCATGGGATAGCCCTAGTGGGCAGTCTGGAAACTAGAGTTCCAGTAGCAATATATGACATTCATACGTTGCTGCCGGTAAAGCCAGTCATCGGCAAATCTTCTCGTACTGTACACCTAACGTAAACACGTTACCGAAACGTTTCAATGCCACTTCCGTAAACTGATGAAAAGCATGGTGCACTCTCAGTAAATTCCTAGTTTTTGTTTGTATTCATATGTGCATATCAATGATAATCTGTATTAGATCACAAAAAATTTTAAAAACTGGTGCATAATAGAATGGTTAATTAAAAGAATGCCTATCTCAGCAGGCTTATTACTTTAAAAATCTAAAAGAGTATATATATATATATATATATATATATACATAGTTACAATATATATATATATATTATTTATTAAACACACACACACACACTATAGTACTAATATATATATATA